TCTGAGCCCCCATGAGAGCTCTCTACTGCTCACAGCCTGGCAGCGGGGATGGTCTCCTCTTTGCATGCTAGAACTGCTTAGGAGTCTTCTCCCTCATCTTCCAAAATACCAAACCTTCTTTTCAACCTTTCTTAGAGCACTAAAATATCTTGTTGCACATTCTGTCCCTGATGAGACTACGGGCTCTCCAAGGACACCTCACATCTGTACCCCCAACAGGACTGGCCAGCAGGGCTTCCTTCACCCCAGATACTTGCAAAACATCTGCTGATAAGATGCTCTGGGACTACAGAGCCCTAGGAGCTGAATGCACCTGACCTCTAGGCCCTTTGCACTTGAGAGGGACCCTTGTTTGTTCCAGCCCAGTGGCTTTTCCTGGTCTGCTTTTCCTTGGCTGTAAGAAATAGGAAACAGGCTGGTGTGAGAGCATACATCTATAATCCCAGTGACTTGAGAGCCTGCAGCGGGAGGACTGAAGTTCAAGGCCAGCCTGGGCAACTTAGTGAGACTCGTACTCAAAATAAAATAAAAAGGGCTGTGGATGTGGTTCAGTGGTAAAGTGCCTGCCTAGCTTGCCTAGCATGCATGAAGCCCTAGATTCATCTTCAGGACCATTAAAAAAAGAAGAAAGAGAAAGAAATGGGAAAGAACACAGTGTGCCTTCCATTAGAGCCCCAGACAGTCTCAGGACGCCCTGGCTCAGCTGCCCACTCCCTGTATACACACCCTCACTTCTGTCATTCGTTGTAGCTCTTCAGATAAATGTAAGTGCATGTGTGTCACATGCACAGTGACACCACAGCTCCAGGATGACCTGGAGCCTCCAGGATGCTCCCTGTGTCCTGGGACCTGCCACATGACCTATAGCCCCAGCCCCACCCCAGCCTCACGATTCTGGAGAGTGGGGGTATCCGAGAGGCCCAGGCGCCCAAGGCAGCAATGACACCCAGCAGGTAGCCGAGGACTTCAGTATTTTCCTGCAAGAATAGATGACATTCTCAGCACTCTATGGGATCATCCATGTGTCCCAAGAAGCAGAAGAACCTGATAGGCACTTTTCTGCTTTTAGAAGTTTCCTTCCCAAAATGGCAAGGGCTTACTGGCCCCCAGCCCCACTCCCAACGTACCCAGGGCATTCAGCAAGCAGGGACCCCAAGGAGGGAGGCAACCCCGCTCTGCCCTGTGTGCTCACTGAGGGGGCTCAGCCTCACCTGCAGCAGGCTTCCCAGCAGCCTCCGCTGGGGCCCCCGGACTACAGCGGAAGCCTTTGGAACAGCAGCCCAGAGAGCCCAGCCTGGGCCCAGGCTCAGTGGCAGAGCCAGGGCAAATATGCCAGCTCTGAGCCGCTTCCTCCTCTTCCTCTTTCTGGTGTGTC